GTGTGAGGGAAGATTATTTCCGGATATGTCTGGAAGAGATTGGTGTTTGAATCAGTGGACTAAGTTAAAACCCATCTTCACTCACTGTGGGCAGGCACTGTCCAATCAGCTGAAGGCAGGAAAGAACAAAAAGGTAGAGTCCAAGTGAATTCGCTCTCTCCCGTGGAGCTGGGATACTCTTTTTCTCCTGCCCTTTGACATCAGAACTCCAGGTTCTTCAGCCATTGGACTCTGGGGCTTATACCAGCAGACCACCAGGTTCTCAGGCCTTTGGCCTTTGGCCTTTGGCCTCAGCCTGAGAGGTATGCCATCTGCTTCCCTGGTCCTGAGGCCTTCGGACTTGAATTAAGCCACCTCACTGACACCCCTCAGTCTCCCATTGCACATGGCCTATCATTAGACTTGACTTCTCAGCCTCCGTAATCATGTGAGCCAACTCCTGTGCTAAGTCCCTTCTCATCTGTCTATCTAACTAGCCCATTGGTTCTGTCTCTCTGGAGAGCCCTGACTGATACAGTTACCTTACATTATTATGATTTGACCCTAGCGGACATTATTACCCCTTTGAATACTAACACTTCAGTTTTGCTTTGAGGAACATTTCTACATCAATCTCAATAGGCCATCACCACCTTTAGTCCCCAGGGGTGAGCCCATGATCTAGGCACGATCAGATAACCACACAATGACTGACCCGTTCAGGCATGGGCAGGTGATCCAAGGCAGGTCAAAAAAGCACTCCCTGGAGATTTGCTGGAACCAATGGTGAAAAACTTGTCTCAGATGTCTGTTACCCTTTCTTACTTAGGACATAAGCTTACAGCATCCAGATAAAGTCAACTGAAAGACAGAAAAGCTAAGAGATGGAAGAAAACAACAAGACCTCATCGTAATATTTAGAACCATGGTCATCTATGGTCATACCACCCTAAATGTGCCTGATCTTGGAAGATAAGCAGGGTTGGGCCTGGTTACTACTTGGATGGGAGAACTGTGAACTCCCTCACTCAAACCCCATATGTACCATCCTTCAAAAATTTCCCCTTTTTTCGCTGGAGCTTATCTCAGTAGGATTCTCTCACTTACAACTGAAAAAGGTAAAACAAGAACATCTTTTATGGAATATAATTAAAATGTAAAAATAAGCCCAGCATAGCGGCTCATGCCTATAATCCTAGCACTTTGGGAAGCCAAGGTCAGGAGCTCAAGACCAGCCTGAGCAAGAGCAAGACCCCATTCCTACAAAAAATAGAAAAATTAGCTGGGCATGGTGCTGTGCACCTGTAGTCCCAGCTACTCGGGAGCCTGAGGCAGGAGGATCCCTTGAGCCCAGGAGTTGCTGAGGTTGCTGTGAGCTAGGATACTACGGCACTCTAGCCTGGGCAACAGAGACCATATTTCAAAAAAACAACAAAACAAAACAAAAACAAACAAAAAACATCCAAAAAACATAAACATGAAGGTTGTTTTAAAGATAATTTTTATATGTTATCACCTGTATTAGGTTACTAACACGAACTGTTACAACAGATAAACCCTAAAAGCTTAGTGCAACAAAGATTTATTTTCTTGTTCACACATAGTCTGCTACAGGACTTTGCAGCCCTTCTCCATCTTGTTAGGACACCATCTGGAACACAACTATGGGGTCCCCAAGGTGGGAAAGGAGAGGGCTGGAGGGTCACCCACGAGGACATAAAGGCCCAGTCCTGGAAACAGTGTACATCACTCATGCTCAAGTTCTATTGGACAGACTCGGTCACGTGGCTTTCACTGGAAGGCGGGCCAGGCAATGGAATATTCCCACACTCCCACGAGGAGGAAACAGTCTGGTGAACGTAACATGCTCTCTGCCACATCTCTTTTTATTTGTTGTGTCCAGTCCCCCTACCAGACAGAGAGACGCCCAGGCATCAGGACCCAAGTTGGGCTGTTGGGTCTCAGGGGTCTACCCGGGCCACCGGGTCAGGAGTCAACAGCAGAACGTAAAGTGGGTGTGGGTGTTCTGGGAGGCAGCATCAGAGTGAAACTAAAACTGGTTTGCCAACCTAAAGAAGTCAGAGAAGGTGAGAGAAATCAAATACAAGTTTATAATTCTATAAATGGAATCCATTCTATAAATGGATTCTATGAATGGATAGACAGAAAACAAACCTGACAAGAAGAGACCAACTGCAGGTTAGGAGGCAGAGCCTGGTGGAATTCCTCAGCTGTGAAAATAGAGCCAGAGACACTTTTTTCAAAGAGTGCTAACAGTGTCTGCATGGGCAGAAGGACGGGGATACTCATCATATCACTTTGACATAGGCAAGGTGGATATTATTAACCCTGTTTCACAAGTAAGGTTCAGAGAGGCGAGGTGACTTGCCCACAAGTCACACAGCTAGTAAGAAGTAGAAATAAGATGGAACCTAAGCCTTCCAACATCCAATTCATGGCCCAGGGGTTAGACTCTTAACCCTACACAGCCCTCTCCACTCTGCCCTCAGCACATCCATGCACCTGCTGATAAACAAGAACACAACTAATCCAAGATGTTCCAGTTTCTACTAAGCAGGGAATGAACTCAGAGAATCTACAACTTCTCCTGAGAACTGTGTCCCCTCTGTCTCCACTTGAAATGGCGTGTGAGCCTTCACTGTCCCCAAGTTCTGGGAGCTTGGGGACATTATGCCCGTGTCCTCACAGCCCTTATAATCCCATCTTAGCATTTGTCACAGTGTGTTGGAATGACTCACTCACCTACCTGTGTGACCACCAATTCAATGAGGGCAGAGACTGTGTCTTTCTGAAACTCACTGATATGCCCAAGACCTAGCACACGCCCTGGCACACAGTAGGGGCTCAATAAATATTTATTAAGTGCATGAATGGATGGATGATCAAATAGTACTTCTCATGTTGTACTAGGATGTCCAGCTGCACTGAGGTTATTCAACTCCCCCTCCTAGATTTTTTTTTCCACTCTATCTGCCAGAATCTCAAGGTATCATCCTCACCGCCCAGTCTTGGGCACAAGGTAGACACACAACATATATATTCATGGACTACATAACTGAGAGAGAAATCACTATAGCTGTACTATTTTTTGTACCAATTCTATTGATAAATTCCTTAGCTAGAGTAAGTCTTTGAAAATCAGACCTATTCATTTCACCTTACTTCTTTAAACTCTTTAATAACTGCTCATTGTTTTGGGGGTCCAGACAAAACCCCTCAACCTTGCCCGCAAAGCCCTGCCTCTGGCACTGACTAAAAAGGGGCAAAACAGTATAGACCCACAAACTTTTGAGGGTCTGATGAAAGATATGGTCCCTCTCTTCAGAAAAAAAAAAAAAAAGTCCTATGTTCAGGAGCATAGACTTTTGCATGCAGTTTTGCAAGGTTGATGGACCCCATAATGTCCAATGCTGGACCCTCCTGGGGCCAGTAACCCCAGGTTGGAGGCAGGTCCGTGGCCCGCCTCACCTGCTCCCTGAGTGGAGAGGGAAGTCAGTTCTCCTAAGGGTCCCCCTGAAGCTCCTTAATAGGAGGAAGCCACCCCCTCCCAGCACCGGCTCTTAGTTAGCAATTCAGAATGACTTCTCAGCACAATCCCTCAGTCTCCCAGGATTCTTGTCTGACAACCCCTTAATCTTGGCAAGAGCTGCATTAAACCAACCTGTCATCATCGTCACCGCGCACAGTGGCAGCTCACAGAGAGACACACACACACACACACGCTCACTGAGAACCAGACTCTTAAACCTGTTAGGAGAAATTACAATTTGGGGGGCCTGGTGCTCCACAACCAGTGCTCAGGAGCAAACAGACAGGGCACCCCAAGAGGTACTGGGCCACACTCAGGCTTGAGGTGAGTTGCTTCTGTCCTAGACGCTGGCAGGGGTTGTGAAAGGGAATGTTTAAACAATCGCTGCTCTCAAAACCCAGGTCCCTTTCCTGTTGGATTAAAACAAAGGAACGGAGACATAATATGAAAAAGCGTCAGGGGAAATTTGCTGAAAATGGGATTCATTTTGCCAAATTCAAAGAGCCCTGTTGCTACCGTGGTTCTGGAAAAGCTCTTTTATCAGTTACTTGCATGACCTATGACATTTTGCACCTTTTTAAAAGAAAAAGTGCAGCCATATCCAGTTGACACACCAAAATACTTTGGAAGCTTGAAGAAAAAATAACAACACCAACAATAAAAAAAATAGACATGATTGATCAAAAGGTATGTGTGGTCAAATCCTTCTTTGGGGCTAACCCTTTTACAAGCTCCATAGTTTAGCAGATGATTATTGTTATTATTATCATAGTTGTAAACTACTATTTTTAATTCTTTACCATGTGCTAAACACTTTCTAATCTTTTCTTCACATATCTATTGAGAGTCATCTGTGTTAGATTAATTCCAAAATTGGAATCAATCACTCTCCCACTTTGGGCAAGGTGACATGTTCTGCCCCTTGACTCTGGGTTTGGCCAGGTAACTTGCTTCGGTCAGTGGGATATTCGCAGGTGCAAAACAAGCAGAGACTTGAAAAAGCAGTTGTGCATTTCCATTTCCATTTTGGTCCCCCTGCCATTACCATGAGACTCTGCCCAGGCTAGCCCTCTGCAGTGTGACACCCCAGACACCCCAGATAGTATCAGCAGACACTTAGACCCACGAGCAAGCCCAGACAAGATCAGCAGACCTACCTGGCCAACATCCAAATGACCCTTGACGTCTAAGCAATAAACTCTCATGTTATTGCTAATTACTCTATACCATATACCATAAAAGTTGTGTGGGTGACTGTTACCCACCATCATGGCAATCGATAACTGATATGGCAACCGTGTGCCAAGCACTGTCCCAAAACATGGTAGAGATGGCAGTAAACAAAGTAGACAAGGCTCTTCTTCTTACATCCCAGATTACATTGCCTAATTCAAAATGTATTACAACATTATAAAGTAAGCTGTATTCCCGTATACACACAAGGAAACTGAGGCATAGAATAGTTGCATACTTGCCCAAGGCATTACATCCAGCAGTTGGAGCTGGGATTCCACGTCAGGCTATATGAGAAGGTGGGTAAGTCACCCAAGTCCAGTCAGTCGTGGCTTCTACGTCTGAAAGATAGAAACAGTAATAATGCAAGCCATACAAATTGTTGTGAGGAATAAATGAGATCATGCACGTGATCACTGGCAATACTGCTTTGCCCATGGAGAAATCAAGGAAGATTTGCTATGGGCAATACTATTTCTGCTATCACTCTATCCTGGCTGTTGCAGTGCTGTCTGAACCCAGAGCCTGACTACTTACCCAGTTCTTGGTTATTTAGCTCTGGCCTAGTTTCCTGTCCTTTCTACCTGATCAATGTGTAGATAGAACTGATTGAAATGTCTAATAAATCACTGCTTCTTTTCATAGGGAAAACAAGAAGAGCTTAGGAAATGTTCAGATCACCTTTAATAATCTTCATCCCTCTGAACCCAGTAGGGATACAGGCCATGTCTGGTGGATTCACTACTGAGCGGTTATTATTATACATTCTTGGGCTAGAAGCAGACATCTCTAAAGGAAGAATAAACTATACAATTTTCAGGGCCCAATATAAAATGAAAATACTGGATCCTTATTCAAATATTATCAAGAATTTCAAAACGTTTAACATCAGAGCATTGAACAAAGATGGAACCCCTGTAAATCAGTACTTTCTTCATGGAATTGTTTTGGAGACTAAATGAGAGGAGCATTTCCCGTCCTTAAAGCGGTATCTGGCAAAGAGTAACTGCTCAACAATAGTGGTGTGAGCTGTCACTGTCATTATCACAGGTGTGTTGAAGAATGCAGGGAATCTCGGATGATGTGACCCTTTAATGTTTTTGAAATGCTTGGATGGCCATCCTCTCACATGGTTTTCATTAACAGGTCTGAGAAGCAGGTAGGGCAGGGGCTTCTGGGTCCCATAGCTAAAGAAATGATGGCTCAGAAAGTGTCGTGGCTTTCCAGAGGCCAATTCCACCAGGAATTGTTGAAGTCGGACTGGAATCTGAGATGTCCCCGTCTTGTGGTCTTTCCACCAAGTCCTCCTGGTTCCAGCTACCTCTGGCCCTAATAGAACTACCATGCACACAAATTTACTTATTTTGGTATAGTCGGGACCCAACTGTGAAGAAGATGTTAAGGGCTTACTTTGCATAGAGAGCCACATCCGAGACTCCCTATTCACCCCACCATGTCACTTTCTGCTCCGTGACTCACATTATAATATACCTGTGTCTTCTGAGCTAATGAGAGCCCACTCAAGAAGGAAGGACTGGGAGGAGAGTCCAGTGGGTGAATAGCACACAGGGCCTGGGGCTGGCCAAGGAAGTCTGGATCTGGCTCTGCCACTTAATAGCTTGGACAAGCACTTACCCCAGATCATCTCAACTTGGGCAATATTAATATTTTGGGCTGGATCATTCTTTGCTGTGGGAAGATACCCTGTGAATTATAGGACGTTTAGCAGTATCCCTAGACTCTACCCACTAGATGCCATGGCACCATCCACTCCAGCTGTGACAACAAATAATATCTCCAGACTTTGCCAATTGTCCCTTGGGAAAGAGGAGAAAGTGTGGTTTGGCAAAATTGCTCCCAGTCGAGAGCCACTGACTTACCAACTGTGAGTCTCAGCGACCCCACCTGTCATCTGGAGATAATGATAAAAATCCCTGCTTCATCACATCCTAAGGATTGAACGAGATGTATGCCACCGGTGTGGCATAAAAACCAGCACACAGATAGATGGGCAATCCGTATTATGTGCTGTTATTGTCACAGTGCCTGCCAAAGAAGGGAAATCTTTGCAAGAGCTCCAGAAGCCTCTTGAATTTGGAGTTGAAAATTCAATTCAGCAAATACTACCTGAAGACCCATTCCTTCTGGAATTTGCCAGCTCCTGGGGATTAAAGGGTGAATAAGGTTTAGACCCCAGCCTCAAGGGGCTGCCGCCCCAGTGAGAAGCTCACAGCCCAGACTCAGTTCGCAGCCTAGCTCTGCCATTTACACGCGTGACTTAAGACAAGCTTGCTTCACTCTGCTGAGCCTCTGTCATCTCGTCTCTAAAACAAAGGTCGTCAGAAAACCCCCTAAGAGATGTAGCTCTTCACCATCAGCCACACTGTCTGCCGATCACCTGTCCTCTTCTCCCCAGGCTGCCTGGAGCGCAGAGGATGAGTCCAGGGCACTCTTCCATGGGAGTGACCATTTACAGTCACCCAGGAGGTGATCAGGGGTCCAAGCCCTGGGATCTTGTGGATTTGGGCTCGTGGCCTTGGCAAAGTCACTTCACTTCTCTGTTCCCTAAGTCGGTTCACCTATCCGATGGGGATAACAGAGTGCCTACTTGATAGGGCTCTCCTGAGGATAAAATGAGATCATTCATGTAAAACACCGCAGAAAGCCCAGCACAGGGGAAGCACTCAAGGCCCTGTCGCCATGGCAATGAAGCTGTTGCACAGGGAGAGAAAGATGCTCACCACGAAGGGAGGAGGAGGCCGTGGCTCTCCGTGGTCTGGTCCAACAGCCTCCGGATTGCCGGCGCGGGAGACGGTGGGGGCTCAACCTGCAGAGCTTCCAGAACCAAGACTTCCTCTCCGCTCCCGCCCCTCCCAGGCCAATGGTATAGCAGCTTTTTTTCCAGGCTCTCACCAAACGATGCAAGCGGATTAAAATATGCATGTGTGTATATATGAGGACAAGAAAGAGGAAAAGTGTAACTTCTAGTGAGAGCCTAAATTTCCTGCCTCCAAAGCCCAGCTGGATAGCAGGAGTTCTAACAGAAAACAGGCGCGCAATTAGCTGGAGTTCTGTAGCTGTCTGCAGCAGGCTGCTTACGCTGATGTCTCGATAGGTGGTCTCCCAGTTCATCAGTTCATAAATAAGTAATTTGAAATGTGTTCCTGAGGGAAATTTTCCTCCTGCTCTCCCCAACAGACTGTACTCATCAGTTTTCCCATTCTCCAGGTAGCTGCCGTCCTCATTTATAATGGCCAGAGGAACTGCGCTGTTCTAATTCCTGCTTCATTACATTGTCTAATGTGAGTTCTCACCAGCCTCTCAACTCTACATTTCTTTATGTTGATAAGAAAGAAAAAAAAAACTTTGCATATATTATTTATTAGCACTTTGGAGGTAGCTTTGCTACAGGTTTAAATGGAATATTTTTACATACAAAGCAAGATGGGCAAGCGAGAGGTTCTGGCCAGAGGTTTGGAAATGTTGATCCGCTCTGCAATGACACGCTTGTGTGTGCTGGGCAGGTGTACACGTACAACACACAACACACACACACACACACACACACACGGCTGAACCCTCACCACCTACTTTGCTTGTTTTGCCTCGATTCCCGCCTTTGCCTTACATTGACACTGGAATATATTTTCTACACATTTTGATGCATTGTTCCAACCCTATATTTTTCCACTCGAGAAAATGCACAACCAGATCAAAAGCACCTGGTGACTTAGGAATCCCAGGGTCCCCCACTGGCGAAGCTAATGGAGTCACTAATTTGCCTGGCCAATAAAACCAATGATTTCTATACTAAAAGCCTTTGAGTGAAGCCTCGGGGGCTTGCTCCAGGGTAATGGAGGGGGGCTAGTTTCCTCTTAGCCAATAACCTAATTATTTTTTTAGAGCACTAACTGTACCTTTCATTATAATAATGCATATAATTGATTTTGCTGATTATGTCTTTCATGGCATCTATTAGTCACTGAGAACTATATTTACTTCTTTTTGTTGTTTTTATTGGGGATTGTTTAGTTTGGGGATCTCATAATAGGTAATTAATAAAATATGTTAATCTGAGAGTAATTTACCTAATGAGTTTCTCTCCTGATAAAGGAGTTCCTCCAAAGGCTTTTGTGGGAGGAAAATCTTTCCTGTGAAATCTTGGCACAATCCGAAACCTAAATTCAGGTTTATATGTTTGTTTTCTCGGCCTCTGAACAGCCCAAGAATTTCAGCAAAAGAATTTAAACATGAATGTCAGGGGTTGGCCAATTTCAGAGGAATTGAAACAGAATCATCCTGTTCTCTGGTCTGGTGGCAACCATGACCACCGTCACCCAAGGACAGCCATCAGGGAGGCTGTGAATGAACTTGACCTGCAGGCCAGTGGAGGTCTGTAAGGAAGAGGCTACAATTGGAAGCAGAGCAAGATTACAGTGATGCAAGAAATGCAAAGCAGACGGATGCGATGAAGGAAAGAAAGGGCTAAACAAGGGTGTGTTCTATACTAGAGGCAACTTCCGGCACGCAGTCCACTATCCCTGGGAGAAGATGAAAACTGTAGGCATGGCCCCTCCAGTATGAGAACAGTTCAGCTCTACCCTTGAGGGTGCCAGTGCGTGGAATGGAAATCTGGGCTTCGTTGCTGGCTGCCAGCCAGGCAGGCCTGATGTCTGCAGCACAGAGTGTGCTCAAAGCTGAGGATCCAGAAGCAGACAGACCTGGCTCACGTGCAGGTCTGCACCCAGGACTTCGTGGCCTTGGTCTCATCATTTCTTCTCTTCTCTCCGCACCATATTTAAGATGGGAGTGGACCATAGTACCTACTCTGTCTGATCCATGAGACGATTGAGGGTGACCCATGCCTGTAATGAAGGAACACAGAGCTTGGCATGTACCGAGGTTTCTCAGCCTCAGCACTCGTGACATTTGGGGACAGATAATTCTTTGTTAGGGTTCAAGGAGTTCTGCTGTGCACTGTGCTCTGTTTAGCAGCATCCCTGCCTCCAACCACTAGGTGCCAATAGCAGTCTTCCCCTTCCAGTTTATAACAACCAACATTGCCTCCAGATATTACCAAACATCCTTTGGGGGGTGGAGTAGATGCAGCAGGCATAATCGCCACCTCTGAGAACAAGGCCCACGATAAAGACTCGATAATCACTAGCTAAGTATTGCAATGATCTTACCTGAGAATCAACTAGCAGCATAGATGGGAAACCACTTGGGGGGAAAAGAGTAGGCTGTTCTATAGTGAATTCCTCCAACTCTTATTAACATCACAGGGAATAATTCCAGACTTCAGTTTGAGTGAGTGTCTCCCACTGACACTCTCTCTACA